GTGGGACAGGTGAGGGGGACAGGTGGGCCAGGTGTGTGGGTACGGACAGGTGTGCAGGGATTACCTGGGGATCACCTGGGGGCACTTGGGGGTTCCCTGTGGGTGACCTCGGGGTACCTGGGGGTACCTGGGGGTTACCTGGGGGGCACCTGTGGCCACCTGGCGGTACCTGGGGGCACCTGTGGATCCCTGGGGGTTACCTGGTGGTACCTGTGGGGCGCCTGGGGGGTACCTGTGGGTACCTGGGGTTTACCTGTGGGGTACCTGTGGGTACCTGGGTTTACCTGTGGGCACCTGGGTTTACCTGTGGGCACCTGGGAGACACCTGTGAGCACCTGGGTTTCCCTGGGGAGCACCTGTGGGTACCTGGGTTTACCTGTGGGCACCTGTAGATCCCTGTGGATACCTGGGGGTTACCTGTGAGCACCTGGGAGACACCTGTGGGTACCTGGGGTTACCTGGGCGCACCTGTGGGTACCTGGGGGTTACCTGTGAGCACCTGGGAGACACCTGTGAGCACCTGGGTTTCCCTGGGGATCACCTGTGGGTACCTGTGAGGCACCTGGTGGTACCTGGGTTTACCTGGGGGTTACCTGGGCGCACCTGTGGGTACCTGGGGGTTACCTGGGCGCACCTGTGGGTACCCGGGGTACCTGTCCTGAGCAGCCCAGGTGTTGCAGACTCGCTGGAGCCGGAGCCGCCTCACCTGCGCCTGGCCGGGGGCGGGCACCGCTGCGCGGGGCGGGTGGAGCTGCTGCACCTGGGCAGGTGGGCCGGGGTCTGCGGGCACACCTGGGGCCCGCGCGAGGCCCAGGTGGTCTGCAGGCACCTGGGCTGCGGGACCCCCCTGGACGCACCTGGGGGCGCACCTGGGGACGCACCTGGGGGCGCACCTGGCCAGGTGTGGCTGGACCAGGTGAGCTGCAAAGGCACCGAGAGAGACCTGAGGGAGTGCAGGGCGGGGCCCTGGCGGGAGCGCACCTGTGCCCCGGGGGGCGTGGCCAACGTGACGTGTTCAGGTGGGTGTGACGTCATCCTCGCCTGTGTGTGTGTGGGGGGGCTCGGGTGGGCGTGACGTCATGCTCACCTGTGTGGGCCAGGTGTGCTCAGGTGGGTCTGGGAGCTTCACCTGGCCCCGGCACACCTGTAACCCCCCACACCCACCTGCCCCTCCCCCCTTTACCTGTCCCACTCAGGTACCCCTCCCCCCAGGGAACCGGGGCCCTTACCTGAGCCCCGCCCCCACCTGGAACCCAGCCCAGGGCACACCTGAGCCCCCCCTCACCTGCCCAGCTCCCCCCGTGTGTTTCAGGTGAGACCCCAGCGCCCCCAGGTGAGGCCCTGGCACTCTCAGGTGTGACCACGGCACCCTCAGGTGAGGCCCTGACACCGCCAGGTGAGCCCTGAGTGCCCAGGTGAGCCCTGGGTGCCCAGGTGAGCTCACCTGCCCTTCCTTCGTGTCCAGGTGCGTCCCTGCCTCACCCAGGTGTGACCCCGGCGCCCCCAGGTGAGCCCCAGGTGTCCCCAGGTGAGCTGGGGCTGCTGAGCCACGCCCACACCTGGCTGCGGTGGGCGTGGCCCCGCCCAGGTGAGCTCACCTGGCCGCGTTCCGTGTTCCAGGCGCGGCCCTGCCGCCCTCAGGTGCGACCCCGGAACCCTCAGGTGTGAGCCCTGAGTGCCCAGGTGAGCCCTGAGTGCCCAGGTGAGCCCCTGGAGTGCCCAGGTGAGCTCCTGGAGTGCCCAGGTGAGCCCCTGAGTGCCCAGGTGAGCCCTGAGTGCCCAGGTGAGCCCTGAGTGCCCAGGTGAGCTCAGCTGTCCCTGTTCCATGGCCCAGGTGAGCCCCTGGAGTGCCCAGGTGAGCCCTGGCACACCCAGGTGAGCCCCTGGCACGGCCAGGTGAGCCCTGAGTGCCCAGGTGAGCTCACCTGTCCCTGCCCTGTGTTCCAGGTGTGCCCCCAGGTGCGACCCTGGAACCCTCAGGTGAGTTCCTGACACCCCCAGGTGAGCCCTGGCACCCCCAGGTGAGCCCTGGCACGCCCAGGTGAGCCCCGGGTGCCCGCCCAGGTGCGCCAGGTGCGCTGACCCGCCCTCACCTGCGCCAGGTGAGCCCCGGGAGGGCCAGGTGCGGCTGGCCGGGGGCCCGCACAGGTGCGCGGGGCGCGTCGAGGTGTTCCACGCGGGCAGGTGGGGCACGGTGTGCGACGACACCTGGGACCTGGCGGCCGCGCGCGTCACCTGCCGCCAGGTGCGCTGCGGCCCCGCCCTCTGGGCGCCGGGGGCGGCGCAGTTCGGGCGCGGCTCAGGTGCGATCTGGCTGGATGTGCTCAGGTGTGCCGGCACCGAGGCTCACCTGGCCGAGTGCCCCGGGCACACCTGGGGGCGCAGCGACTGCTACCACGGAGAGGACGCCGGGGCCGTGTGCGCAGGTGAGACAGGTGGGACAGGTGAGACAGGTGAGGGACAGGTGAGACAGGTGGGACAGGTGGGACAGGTGAGCTCAGGTGAGACAGGTGAGAGACAGGTGGGACAGGTGAGAGACAGGTGAGACAGGTGAGACAGGT